CACACACACACACACACACACACACACACACACACACACAATACTGTACATATAGTACATAATTATTCATATATTTTAATATTAAAACTTGATTTATATAAATAAATAAAAATAAATAGATCAATAAAATGAATATATAGTAAATAATAAATGAATAATTTTAATAAATATGTGTGTAGATTGATAGATCAAAAGATAAGCACTTTTAATATATTTTAAAATATGCACATTTTATATACAGTGTATATATATATATGTGTGTGTGTGTGTGTGTGTGTGTGTGTGTGTGTGTGTGTGTGTGTGTGTGTGTGTGTGTGTGTGTGTGTGTGTGTGTGTGTGTGTGTGTGTGTGTGTGTGTGTGTGTGTGTGTGTGTGTGTGTGTGTGTGTGTAATTTATTTATTATTTATTAGTTAGTTAATTAGTTATCTAATTAATTATCTAAATAAATTCACCCAAAATGTATTGTATGATTGGAAATGTATTTTATTGCCCCTTGAAATACATTTTGTATGACTTTTTTCAGCATTTGAATTTTCTTTTTTCCTTTCCTTTCCTTTCCTTTCCTTTCCTTTCCTTTCCTTTCCTTTCCTTAAGAAGCACAGTTTACAACATATATTTACCATATATTTAAAATGTATTAAGGGCTTTTAGCTGTATGGCTAAGACTGCAGTAAGATCTGTATAATGACATACTTATAAATCTAAAATTTGTATGCAGACCAGTTGGGTTTGTACCATTTAAGCCATTAAAATGTTTATAAGCAACTGAAAAAAGCACAAATGTCAGGGCAAGTCAAAACTTCTCCAGGGCCCCAAAACACCCTCAGACCCCAGAGGGTTAATATGTTAGTATTAGCATGAATCCTAAGTTAATTATGCTGAATCTATTGACAATTATTGTGTTTAGGGTGATTCTTGTAGCGCAAGCAGTTCTAGGCAATTTTAACCTAAAAAGCAATGGACATTAATATACTTGTGTGCGCTAGAATTTTTTTGCTCTTAGTGTAGATACCGAGTTCTTTTAAGTGCATGTGTGTTTTAGAGCATTAGTGAGATAGATGACAGGAATTTAAAGTGTTAGAGACACAGACATTAAAGGAAATGGAAGGGAAGGCCGTGCGTGAGCATCTTTCGTTAACTGTTATGGATTAATTGACCCTCCCTTGCAGTTAATGAGCTGCGGCGCTTAAAGAGAGACCAGCTCTTAGCAAGACAAAGCTAATAGCCGAGGCGAGTTTAATTACAGCGAGAGCAAGGTTTTTACCACCTCAGACATCAAAATTCTTCTTTTAAAATTCACAGCACCACTCTAAGTGTCTTATAATTATGGGAGCTCGTTTTGGTCAGATGGGCTGTCATTGTCAGGACTAGAGAGATGGGAGAGATCGATCGTATCGGTGAGCTGATTCTTGGGAAGAGAGTGGCCCTCTTTATGAAACCATTCTCAGTTAATTGCTACATCTCTTCTCGTTTTATTTTTGGTCATTTTGTCACTTTATTGAATCTTATCAGGAAAGTGACACAAGTGGAAGCCACATTCATATTGCCTTGTGAGAACAGGGTAACCAGATGACCTTGATTAAGAAGTTGTAGATTGTCGGTAGATTGTTAGTGATTTTATTATGTACAGTAACACTTAAATGCGTTACTGTTTAGATCCGGCCCTTTGTTTATAATATTTCCTTTTGAGTTCAGTGGAAGTCAAACAGGTTAGTAATTTAAAGAATCTTCTTTCCACCATGGCATAAAAAATAAAAAAAAAGGTTATTAGTCATTTTTATCTAAAAATGACTTTTTTCACTGTTCTGAGTGTATATCTCTTCAGATTTTTTTTTCTCAGATTTGTGAGGTATAAATGTAGAATTACAAGATATAAGCTACAAGAAAAGTCTAATTTGTGACAAACTCACAGTTGTGAGAAAAAAAAATGAATTGTGAGATGAGAGGTCGCAATTACCTTTTTTATTTTTAAAACTGAATCATGAGATATAAACTCAGAATTCAGAGGAAAAAAGTCAGAATTTTAAGTTTGTATCTTGCGATTTTGAGTTTATATCATAATTCTGAGAAAAAAACTCAGAATTGTAAGATATAAACTCAATATTGTGAAAAATAAAGTCTGAAAGTCAGAAACAGGCTTTAATATTAACGGCATGAGGTTGAGGAAATGATGACAGAATTTATTTTTTAAGCATACTGTGCCTTTAAGGCTACGCATTGCATTGTTAAATGTCTATTAAAGACCTATATTTATAGCAATCAAGCTAAAGTCATGACTAATTATCATGAGAAATGGCATCCTGTCAGTAAGTACGTTGGGATGCATGTCATGGTTCACAAACACAGGACCGTCCCATCTAGGGTTGCCAACTTCAGAAAAGGAAAATAAGGGAGAATCGTGGTTTTTCATAGAAAAATAAGGGACAGAATAAGGGACACACACACAGGCCTATTATGTATATCTGATATATATCTCTTTTATATAATTAAAACAAAAAACATTTTTTATGGAGTCTTATCTCATCAAGGCTGTATTTATTTGATCAAAAATACAGTAATTGTCACGGGTGCACTGCTGAGCGGACTGAGGAGGAAGGAACGGAGAGAGACGAGGAGTACATTAATCCAAATGGGTTTAATTAACATACATTTACTGACCCCAAACCTTTGAATAGTAGTGTATATTTAACACAGAATTTTTATTTTGAATAAATACCGTTCTTTTTAACATGTTATTTATCAAAGAATCCTGAAAAAAATATCACTGGTCCCAAACAATAATAAGCAGCACAACTGTTTCCAACACTGATTATAAATCAGCATATTATAATGATTTCTGAAGGATCATGTGACACTAAAGAATTTCAGAGTATGATGCTGAAAATTAATCTTTGCGTCACAGAAATAAATTATAGGCCTATTTTAAAGAATATTCAAATAGAAAATTTGTATTTTCAATTGCAATATTGCAATAATTTCACAAAATTAAAAAAAAATGTCGGTATTTTTGATCAAATAAATGCAGCCTTGATGAGCATAAGAAACTCATTAACCTTATACTATTTATCACCCTACATCCATTAAATGTAAATTGTTTTATCTAGGTATACATTAAAGAAAGACAACTTTCCTTATTGATCACGTCTTCCCTCAGGTAAAATCATAGACTGTATAAAAGGGTAAAATGCACGTTTTCTTACGTGGCTGGATGTTGGAATCACGTTATTTGCATTCGCTCAAACTGATTTGCTGAAGTCGAAAAAAAAATAAAATTACTCCATTAGCGCAAATCCCGCTCGCTGTGAAGCGGGTGCGACCTGCCGGCAGAGGATTCCGCTTGGTCTTAAAAGCCTCCCCATTCACAAATCAAACACTTGTCAAAAAAGAATGATTAATTCTCAATTTAGAGTTTGTTATTCGTATGGTCTAGGTG